GAACCGGGAGGTCATGGTTCAGTTCCCGGTCAGGGCTCATGCCCAGGTTGCAGGAGGCAGCCTATCAATGATTCTTATCATTGATGTTTCTATCTCCCTTTCTCTGAAATCAACAAAAACATTTATATATATATTTTATTCATTTCAGAGAGAGAGAGAAACAGTGATGAGAGAATCATTGATGGGCTGCCTCCTGCATGCCCCCCACTGGGGATCGAGCCTGCAATCCGGGGTATGTGCCCTTGATCAGAATTGAACCCGGGACCCTTCAGTCCGCAGGCCGACTATCCACTGAGCCAAACCAGCTAGGGAAGTAAAAATGTGTTTTAAAATAGAAAAGGGTGTTTCTTCATTTTTATGTAAATAAATGATATCATTTGGACGTGAAAATTCAAGTAATGAAGGTGTAAGTTTATTCAGTATATATTTAAACACAAAGCTGATCCTATTGGGTGGGGAGGGAAAAGAAGGGTAAGTACACAGAGAATGAGTCAGTGTCATCATAACTCATGAAAGGGCATTAATATCACATTGTTCAAGTAAATGGAGGAGGAAAGGTTTATGAAATTATGACTAAATTTTCCACTGGATTAGAGTTCAAATGTTTTTTTGGTTTTGTTTTTTTTATTGATCCTTAGAGGGGAAGAGAGAGCGAGAGAGAGAGAGACAACAAGGAGAGAGAAACATCAATTGGCTGCCTCCTGCATGGCCCCCACCAGGGATGGAAGCTGAAACCCAGGCGTGTGTCCTGACGGGGAATTGAACCGGTGACCTTTGGCGCATGGGTTGATGTTCAACAACTGAGCCACACCCCCTGCCAGGTTTAACTCCAGATCTTTCAAATTGAAAAAAAAAAATAAAGGAAACAAACCACACAGGGTAAGGTCCTCCTCCGCTTTAAAAAACAAAAGGAATACAAATACCTTCATTGAGCTAAGAGTAACCATCGAAGCTGTAACTGAAAAGGTCTTCAATGTACTTATGAAGGCACCCAGGCTGGAGACGGTGGGGGAGTGGGGTGAGGCCAGCAGGGCGAAACCCTGGGCTTGGTTCTGAGAGCAGGGAAGCCACCGGCAGGGCCGCTGCGTGCCTCTGTTGTCCATAAAATACCGCCGGCGCCAGCCGAGGTTGAGCACCAGCTCAGGCACCTGGCGGAAGGTCTCTCCTGGGACAGCCGCCTGGCTGCCAGATCTGGGCACATTGCAAAGCTGCCTGGCTCCTCCCACCAGGAGGGACGGTGGGGCTGTGCCTGGGCAGGGACTGGGCGTTGTTCTCAAGTTCCTGTAACTCTGAGCCCGAGGTCAAATACAACTGCCTGGCTTACCTGCACCTCCCATTCCTGGCCTCGGCCTCCAGGAACCTGGCCTGGCCTTCGTCCTCAGAGGAGCCATGGAGCCCACAGGTGAGCAGGGAGGGGCAAGGGCCCTGGGTGACCACAGGGGCCTCACGGCTGGGGCTTCCAGCAGCGCTGAGCAGTGGGCAGAGAGGGTCTGGGGAGCTGCCCGTGTGTGTGATGACAGAATGTGGCCAGGGTGGTGGTGGCCGGGGCAGAAGGCAGACCCTCGGGGCCATGTCCTGATGCATGACCTGCGAAGCTGCCAGTCGTCCAGCCCTCCTGCAGGTGGACCCCCTTCCCCTGCCCTCCGCTCTTTTCTCTACGTGTCCGGGCCCCAGAGGGCAGAGTGCTGGTCAGCAAGGGGCCTTCCTCCTGTGTGAGGTCCGCCTGTGATGGAGCAGGCCCTGCTCTGAGGAGCTGGTGGGGGACCCAGGGCACCTGCTATGCGTGGGAGGGGGGAGGGCAGAGGGTGAGGGAGGGGAAGAGGAAGGGGCAGAGCACCACTAGGCCCCTTCCTGTCGAGACCCCGCACCTGGTCAGGACGGTGGACTCTGCTACACATTCCTGGGGGGAGAGGTGGCCCTCCCCCTGCGGTGGTCTCCGCCTCTGCGGCTGCCTGGGGACAACTCCAGGTCCTACCTGTTAGAGTCAGTGGCTGCAGATTGGAGGGTGGGGAACCGGGCTCTTGGGTCCTCAGGACCCCCCTTCAGAGGAGACCCAGTGCACCAGGGGCTGGCCCACCTGCTCAGAGTTCGGCGGGGCTGCCCTGCGCCCTCTCTCTGACCCTGTCGCATGTGCCCTAACCTGTCCCGTGGGCAGGCCCAGGCCCAGTGGGCAGGCCCACTCTCACCTGGGGCCCTTTGCTGGGCTCCCACACAGTGTGGCCTCGGTGAACCTTCCAGAGCGGCACTCCTAAGCATGTGCCCAGCTGAATGGATGTGAAGACGAGCCTGTGGGCCTGGACCTCCCAGGACCACCCACAGCGGGGGTCACATCCAGCCCCTGGAGTCACCCCTTCCTGGGAGAAGCTGGGAGGCCCCGGGAGGAGGACCCCATTCCCCTCTCTGTTCCCTGGGCCCCAGGGACAGGGCGGGACGACTGTGGGGCCTGCGAGGAGGGGCCCGGGGTCCTTCAGGGAGACGGGGTCAGTCTGCTAACCGGACCCGGGCAGCCGTGCCCGAGGAAAGCACGTCTCGCTGGATGCTCCTCTCTACAGAGTTTGGTCATTGAGTCCTTGGGACTGGGCCTGAACCAAACCCTGTCTGCAGGCCGAGAGGGCGGGGGAGGGGGCTGCTGTTATTCTGTCTCTCTTTTATTTTAATAATTCTTTGTTGTTGAAAGTACTACATATGTCCCCCTTTTCCCTCCAGCCGCCCCGTGTTGCTCTGTCTCTTGTTTCCCGAGTCTGCCCTTCCAAAGCAGAGAGGCCCAGGTGGGCACGGGTGCTGGGGGGTGGGAAGGGCTACCAGTGACAACCCGGATCTGAAGGTCAGCGACCTGGCAAGGTGGCAGATTCCTCCCAGGTGGCTTAGGCCTGTCCTGATTTTAGCACTTTAGTTCTGCGTCCTGGGGACCCAGCTGGTCCCACGCACACCGGGCAGGGTGTCACCCTGGACCTGGGTTTGGGCTCTAGCTTTGCATGAATTCTACATGACTTTGGGCAAAACTGTTCTGTGGAAAACCACTCCCTGGCCTGATCTTGGCGCTGCGGCCTGGGCTCTCCTGGCAACGCCCTGTGTCCCCTCCCCGTCCCCAGCACTAAGCAGATGCTTCCTTGGAAGTTCGGGGCTGCACGGGAAACGCCCTAAGCCCTTTGGATCTTTGATATGAAAAAGAAAGAAAAAGCTGTTTTAAATTACTTCCTTGATTAGTGGCAACTAATGTGTTCTCTGTTCTTTTAACTTAGTCGGCCAACGGCAGTCTAGAGACACATTTGGCTGTGTTTTTCCCTGTGCCTTTGCGAGCCTGGAAGATTGTCCAGCCTTACAGATCCCCTACCCCACCAGCCCCCAAGACCTCTCCCTCCCTGTGCTCACATCTCACGATCAAACACCACACCACCATTTTGCTCATCCTACCCAGACCACCCCAGGGCCCAGTGTTCCCGCTTCGGGTCTCTCTGGGGGTGGCCTCTGCTTCACCTGTGGCCCCTGGATCCTCCACATCAGGTGGTTTCCTGCTGCTGTTACTCTCCGTGGTCCCTGCCTCTGATCCTGCCCACCTGCCACGCCCCTCCCGCCTCTCTCTCTTCCCTGTGTCTGGCCTGCGGCCCAATGGCCTGCCCTCAGCTGGGGGGCTGTTATACCAGCGCCAGCCTCATCCAACTTGTGTTTCCTGCGCCTCTTATTTGCGTCATTTTCTCTTGTGTGTGACTTAACCTTGTGTTGTTTTGTACAGTAACATGCCACACCAGCTTATAGCCCAGGAGCAGTAGGGTTGACCACACAGCCTAGGTGTGGAGTGGGCTGTACCATCTAGGTTTGTGCATCTATGTTCGTACAACGAGATCGCCTAAGGACGTACTTCTTAGCAGGATTCCCATCTTTAAGCGGCGAGAGGCTGTATTTCCTGCCTGGATGAATTTGGTTTCTCCAGGCCTATGGTTATTTGCTGGGTATACCTTCTACTCTACTTGCACACCAGACCTATGTGTGTCTTCATTTCTAAAGTATGTCTCCTGAAGACAGCTTAGAGTTGAAGCTCTTCTTTAAATCCAGTCTGACGATGTCTGCCTTCCGATGGTGTTCAATTGCCATTCGATGTTGTTATTGCTGTGATTGGATTTCCAGCCACCATTTAGCTATTGGTTTTCTCTATGTTTTGTGAGTTTTTGCTCTTTTGTTTCTCCTTACGATATTCTTTTACGTTAAATAGATATTTCCCATTGCACTGTTTTAATTCCCTTGCTGTTTTTAAGGATATGTTTTTAAGTTATTTCTTTTAGTGGTTGCTCTGGAGATTATGCATTCTAATTTACACAATTTACTTCAGTCTATACCAACTTAATTCCAGCAGAATACAGAAACTTCGCTCCAATTAGCTCCATTTCTCCCCTCCTCTCTTCTCATATATGTTCATTCATGTATGTTATGAACTCAGAAATACTGTCTTATAAGTATTACTTTAAACAATCTTCTTTCTTTTACATTAACTAGGGCAAGGAAGGAGAAAAGTGTTTTTCAAGCATTTTATTTTAAACATCATATTAGCCATTTGCTTTACTCTCTGTTTCTTTAGTTAGTTTGGTTGGTTGGTTAATCCTCACCCGAGGATATTTTTCCATTGATTATTTTAAAGAGAGTGGAAGGGAGAGGAGAGAGACTGAGAGAGAAAAGCATCAATGTGAGAGGGGCCAGGGATCAAGCCTGCAACCGAGGTACCTGCCCTTGATTGGAATTGAACCCAGGACCTTTCAGTCGAGGTCCGATGCTCTATCCATTGAGCAAACCGGCTAGGGCTACTCTTAAACTCTTTCTGTGTATTTGAGTTGTTGTCTGGTGACATTTCTTTGCTCAATAGTCCTTCATTTCATGCTCTTCACTTGGTGCTATTATTGTCATGTACATGGCATCCTGTTATAAGCCCGGCAAGGTCACAGGATATAAACTCACTATGTAAAACAATCATATTTCTATATACTTGCTGCAGCCAATCAGACATGACAATTTAAAAATACTATTTACAACAGTATCAGAAAGCACGAAACACTTAGGGATGAATTTATCGAATTAAGAGCAATGTCTATACAATTAAAACCACCAAGCATTGCCAGAGAAATGTAAGGAGATATAATAAGTGGAGAGAAAGACTATGTTCATGGATTGAAAGATTTAGGGTTGTTAAACTCTCCTCCTCAAATTGATCTATGGAATTACATAATCCCAACCAAAACTCCAGAAGGCCTTCTTATAAAAATTGACAAGCTGGTTCTATAATTTATATGGAAATGCAAAGGTCCCAGAATAGCCAAAACAAATTTGAAAATGGAAAAAGAACTTTTAGGGCTTACACGTCCTTATTTCAAGATGTATTACAGAGCTACAGTGATCCGTACAGGTTGGTATTGGAATAGACCTGCAGATCAATGGGACAGAATCCAGGCTCCAGATATATAGATTGTCCCCAAAAAATGTGTGCACACACTTTGAATAATTATAAAGGCAGTGTTTATTATAATCATTTCATTTTCAAAATTGAGCTATCAGCTGTTAAAGTGTATATACATTTTGGGGGACACCCTGTAGATACACACACACGGATTTTCAATAGAGTGCTAAAAGAATAAAATGGGGAAAGGAAAACATTTTCAATTCAAATAGCTGAAATTACTGGATATCTGTATAGAACAAGAAAAACAAAAAAGAATATCAATCCTTCACACCATAGACAAAAATTACAAAATTTCTGCCTGGCTGGCATGGCTCGGTAGATGAGCATCGACCTATGAACCAGGAGGTTATGGTTCGATTCCCGGTCAGGGCACATGCCCGGGTTGAGGGCTCAATCATCCCCAGTGGGGGGTGTGCAGGAGGCAGCCGGTCAATGATTCTCTCTCATCATTGATGTTTCTATCTCTCCCTTCCTCTCTGAAATCAATAAATATATAGATTTTAAAAAAAATAGTCCTGCCCTGGCTGGTTTGGCTCAGTGGATAGAGCGTCGGCCTGCGGACTGAAGGGTCCCGGGTTCGATTCCAAGAGCACATGCCTGGCTTGCGGGCTTGATCCCCAGGGTGGGAGTGCAGGAGGCAGCCAATCAATGATTCTCATCATTGATGTTTCTATCTCTCTCTCCCTCTGCCTTCCTCTCTGAAATCAATAAAAAATATTTTAAAAGTTACAAAATTTCTTGCCCTGGCTGGTTTGGCTCAGTGGATAGAGCGTCAGCCTGGGGACTGAAGGGTCCCGGGTTTGATTCTGATCAGGGACATGCCAGGGTTGCAGGCTCGATCCCCAGTGGGGAATGTGCAGGAAGCAGCCGATCAATGATTCTCTCTCATCATTGATGTTTCTATCTCTCTCTCCCCTCTCCCTTCCTCTCTGAAACCAGTAAAAATATATATATATTTTTAAAGTTACAAAATTTCAGGAGAAAATATTCACGACATTGGAGTATGCAAAAACTCACTAGATGAGACAGGAAAAAAGCTCAAACCATAAGAAGAAGTAAATTAGACTTTGTCAAAATGCAAACCTTCACTTCAAACACAAAATTAAGAAGGTGATCAGATAAGCCACAAACTGAGAGAATCTCTGCAATACGCATATCATCAATTGCATATCGTCACGGAACTCGGGTCCACGTTATGTAAATAACTTCAACTTCTCAGTAATAAACCCGGAAACAACCCAACTTCAAATAGGGAAAGATTCCAAAACACATGATGAGGAACAGGGTTTTGTTTTGTTTTTTATTTATTTTTTATTTTACTTTATTTATTTATTTTTTTAAATATATTTTATTGATTTTTTACAGAGAGGAAGAGAGAGAGATAGAGAGTTAGAAACATCGATGAGAGAGAAACATCGATCAGCTGCCTCCTGCACACAACCCACTGG